TCTCCACATAAAAGGGCTCTTTTTTAGAGGATTCTTTCTAATTGCAGTCTTTTAAGGTCCATGTCTTCACATGACATATTTCCCAGGGCACACTCCTTTTAAGCAATATCTTTACATGAACTTTTCCATTAACTTGCAGTGCATTAACTGTTTATTAACATGGCAAACTTTCCAGGTAGGTTTCTCTGCAACATTTTTCACACAGACAGGTTTGTTGGCTAGTCTTATCACAGGACAGGATACCAGTTCAGTCTTCAAGTCTCTCTGAGCAGCATACTTGAAGGGCTGTTTCTCTTAAACTGTATTTTTTTCTAAAAGAGCAGTACGATTGTAGATTTTTTTTGGACTCTGAAGCACAAATTTGACCATCTACTCAGACTACACTGTGCATATAGAAGTTGCAGATCTTTTGAAACCCTGAAAAACAGTGCAATTTTACAGTACTGTGCAAAGGTTTTTGGCAATGTAGGAATCTCCAATGCTGCTGTAGAGATGCTTTCAAAAAATATTAAATGAAAAGTTTTTTACTTTATCAATTAACTACCTACAAAGTGCATAAGCAAAAACAAACCTCAATCTAAATAATTATGTGTCCATCCTTTGCCTTTAAAACAGCCTCAGTTCTGCCAGGTACACTTGCACACAATTAAGGATTATGTGGGCATACATATAGTCCTGTGCATGATTAAACAATTGCACCAAACCAACAATGATTAATAACAAGATGATATGTAGGTAAAATACAATAATTAATTCAGGCAGAATCAACTATTTAGGATGAAAGAAACCGGTTGAAGAAAAGTCATGTTCTACTAACAACTTCATGGAAGACTTGTGGCTACAAATTCATGTCTACAATGTGGAAACAAGACCAAACAATTTGCCTATGCATGAAAACACAACATTCAGAAAATTGACAGCAGGTGCTCTGAACTAATGAGTCCAAATTTTAAATATTTGGTGCAACAGAAGGCAGTTTAGTTGTTAAAGCCCTGGAGAGCATTTCCAAGATGAGTGTCTGCAGGGAACAATAAAACATTGTGGAGGTTCCTTGCAGGTTTGAAGTTGTATTTTTGCAAATGGAGTTGGGGATCCATTCAGAATTACTGGATCTTGAAAATTTCAGACAGAAACGTATCTCATACTATGCTATACCATTAGGGAAGAGATTGACTGGTACCAAAGAGTCCTAGAAAAGATGAAGTGGCTCCTAAAAGCCTTGATCTCAAAATCATTGAGTCTCTCTGTGATTACATGAAGAAACAGAAGCAGCAAAAGCAGCCTAAATCCACAAACGAATGGTGGGTTTTTTTCTTTTAGATGTTTAGAACAACCTATCTGCCAAGTACCTTAAAAAAACTATATGAAAGTGTACCTAGATGAATTGATACTGTAAAGTCAAAGCAAAGACACACCAAATATTGATCTGATTTAGTTTTTTTAATGTATGCATTTTTAGGTTGTTAATTGATAGATAAAACTATCCATTGTATTATTTTTGAAATCATGCTCAATGCCTAAAGATTTTGCATATGACTGCACATATTTAATTAGAATTGCCTGCATGTGCATATACATATTTGAATTTGGATCTTTGCAAACTATTTCATAATCATTTAATAATTTGTGGAAGGAACCACACTAAAGAGTCATGCACACCTCTTTTTTCCTCTTAGTTTTGTGTGCTTCTATGAATAGATGGTTTGATGGTATAGATTTTCTCTAAAATTGAAGTGAGCACAGGTGCTCCACTTGGATGATAATTTAATCTGCTGAATATTATAAAATAACTACACCTGTCCAGTTTTGAAGATTGCCACTCAGGACTATTTGTTTTTGAACTTGCACAACAGTGTGGTGCGCCTCTAATTATGTTAAGTAATTTTTAAAGCAATAAAAGGAAGTTGTACACACTTTCTTAATTCCATGAGTTAAGTAAAACTCCAGCCAAATGTTTTCAGTTTTGGAAAGTGTGAGAATGGTTAGGCATTCTTTTGCATTCTTTTTGCTATCTAGGACAGAGAAAAAAATTATGAAATTTTAACCCTTCTTCACCAAAGTTAAAGCCCTGAAATACTGGAGCAATACAGTTACACTTTAAATAAATTTATAACATTCATACTATTAATTTTTTGATGATCATTTGGAAATAGAGCTGCCTGCTCACTAAAGTAATCACAATTTGTAACGAGCAAACCAAAAAAACAAAGGAATAATTTGAAAGACTAAAGGCAACATACATTACATTAAATGACTTTAAAGCATGAGAAATAGGGTTATCCAGTATACTGTGAGCTATATATCCTCATCCTTAGATTAAGCATATACAAACAAAACATGATAGTAGCCAGGGACTTTTTGAGGAATTATTTAGATGAGAAAAGAATACTGCATATATATAAAAAAACATACCTATTATTGGAACATTCAGTGAAATAACAAAACACAAACCAAACATTAAAATATTGAGTACAGGATTCACTTATTGTTTAGGTCCAATATACTCCACATGTAGACTCGACATGTTTCAATGGATAAATCTTCTTCAGAAGTACATGTGAATGATCAGCATGATGAAACCCATGATTCTCTCATTGTGATTAAGCCAGATAGTCACTGGAATTCTAAAAAAAAAAGTGTGTGCCATCTCTTTCCCATATGGGAGGTAGGTTATATACGAAAGGTGCAGAAAGACCTCAATGGTCATCCATAATCCAATTAAATGGAAACATCAAATGAAAAAAAAAACATATCATCATACTACCATGTTTTGTTTGTATATTAATTTAAAGCATGTCTGTGTATTTAAAGGACCTATGACACATATAGGCACATTTGGATGGTGATTAATCACACTTAGTTAACAATGTTTATACCAATATAAGATTTGAAAGATGTGAAAACTCATGCTGTAAAACCTTATAAAAATGGTCAATTTTAATCAGAAGGATTTTAAATACATGTAAAAAAAAATGTTTTATTCTCTGTGCAACAAACCGAGAAAATAATTAGCAACTATTGATGCAGAAAGTAAAAGATCACACAGATACACAAAGTTGTTCAGTTTGATGTAGGAAAATTGTGTGAGAAGAGAAAAACATGTTTCAGTAATTTAGTGTCTATTGTTCTGTAACAATAATAATTGAATTGCTAATTCAAAATATTATTGCCTATAGCATACACTTTTCTAGAATAAATTAATTGAAATTTTTAAATTGGCTATACCACTCCCAAAAAATACCAACACATTTAAATGGCTGACATGTGACTTGTGATTTTTAATATTTTCCTGCTCTTATAATCTCCAATTTCCAATTTCAGTTTAGCTTGGTTAGATTTTATTGTGTAAAATGCAGAACCAATATCTATGGTTTCTTTAAAAATGCACTTACAATTGGTAATTTCAATTGCAAACTTGCAATAATATATATCTTCAATATTTGGATTAACCCACATTTTGTGGTAAAGTTTGTGCATCTCAGCAGGGGTTAATAGAGTATGTTATATTATTGCTTTAGAAGCCTGTTACTAGTACTTATACAGAAATTATATTTTGTGGTGAATTGTATTTTGTTTTTAAGACATTTTTAAACATATATTTTACATTAGCTTCTTAGTATGTGCAGATACTCTTTGGTCTCCAAACAAACATTTAACACATGACAAAGGATTCCCAGAGCATTATGGATTAGCTAAAAGGAACCACAAAAGGTTTCTCCTCCAAGCAATACCTAATCAAGGCAGACTTGCAATGTCATGTTTTACTAGGTAAACTTTAGGTATTTAGTTTCCCATGCTCTTGTTTAGAGATTGCCACTTGTTAGCTGCAATTGGTAAATGTTAAATATCCACATTGTAAATTGTAGATTTACCCTTAAAAGTATTTTTGGTACCAAGCATAAAAGAATGTAGTAATTGTGAACACTATAAATGCACACTTTCAAAAGTTTGTGCTTTATAGAACTTGATAACATGTACACACTTCTTTTAGAATTAAAATAGGAAAAATAAACATTAATCAAAACAGAGAAAAAAATGTTTTTTTTAAAGTCGTAAAGGATAGATAGAGTAAGCAAATCCAACATCAAAAACATACCTAATAAGAGCCCTGAAGCCTTTTTGTGTTTACTGTGCTAAGAAATGGCAAATACAATACAGACAATTTCACACGAATGTAAGATGCTTACACTCTGGGTTTTTTTTTTTCTTTTATAAATAAAGACGTATATATATGCTTTTTATAGCATAGAATTATGCTTTGCAGGACAGCACATGTCACATTACATTTTTCTTTTAGCACTTAGTAAATTATAGTAATTACCAAACATTTTCTCCTCCACTGTGATTTCACTTATCCTCCAGCAATGTTCATTTGTTAACAATATTATAGAAAACTACACAAAGATAATAGCGTACAACATAAACCTTTGCACAATTTCTAGCTTCCTTACAGCTGAATTAATAGGAGTAATAGCAGCGTTATCTTGGGGTGATTGTGCATGCAGTAACAGAGGTTTGTCTGAGACGTAAATTGAAAGTGAAAGCTACTTCTTCATTCCAGTGGCTGCAAGGCAAAAACATTTGTGCTCCTTCAGACCGTCTTGATAAAATCTAATATGCTTGTTCAGTTTTTGTTACAGGCTCATAAGCTAACCATAATTAGTCCATGACAAGAACCATACCTTTCACAGCACTGTGCTATTGGACCCCTTTACCTTTTTTAAGAAGTACTTTATTCACGATTGTATCTAACAATATAAAAATGGCAACACTACCTACTGTTGAGAAACTTAAGCAGCAAGTCGACTAAAGTGTTACTAAACCCACAACAGTAAAATCAGTCTGTATATGCAGTAATGCATGCTTGTTATACTCACTGTAGAATCTAAGGGTTTAATCCTCTGTATTGTGTAAAAAGGTTGTTTGATTCCCTCTTTTCTGCCCCTCCTCTTGTTGAAATGACCACCTGATACAAACTGAATCCATAGTCACATGCACATGCTCAGTTTGGTATGTATTGCTAGAGAGGTTTTTTTTCCTTGGGAGAGTGCATGTGATCAGCACAGGGCCAATCAGCACTGTCCAGACAGAGGGTCAGGACTTTCACATCCTCCTAGAACAGAAAGAAAACTCCTCCTACAAGCTTTAACCAGTGCTCTGCTAAAGTCACAAGACTGCTCTAACTGCTGATGAGAAAAGGGATTTAGCAGTTTATATTTACTAAAATAATTGCATTTCCATGTTCTGTGTACTATGGGAGACCAGATAGAGTAGATGCAGGGTACTGGGTATAGTATCACTTTAAGTGCATACCAGAACCTGTTTGGTATTATTATCTGTCCTGGACCAGATATCAGCTGTGTTGGTGCAGCCACACCTTTGTGACCAGTGTCAGCACCTGTCACAGCCTATTGTCACAGTGTTCAAGTCATGTTTAAAGTGGAACTAAATTCCTTAACTGTCTCCCAAAACAGTTTTATCCAAGACAATAATGATAATAGTTACCAGTGTGCTTATGTTGGCTCTTGACTAAACTGTCATACCATCAGATGGCTGGTGTTATAACTGATCACATGTGCAGCAACATGGCAGCTGCAGAAACATAGTGCAGCCTCCTTGGAGCCATTTTAGCCTCTGATTGATCTGCAGTTGCCATGGTGTTTTACATGTGACCAGTTATGACACCAGCCATTTGATGGCTTGATAGTTTGGTTGAGAGTTCAAGGACTTGTGGCAGTTATCTTTCATGGCATGCATTGAATTAAACTGTTTGTGGATACAGGTAAATCTATGGGGTTTATTTAAAAAAAAAACAGAGAGTGCAAAATCTGATGCAGTGGTGCATGGTAGCCAACCAGCTTCTAACTTCAGCTTGTTCAGTTAAAGTGGTTGTAAATGCTGAAGTTTTTTTACATTTATACATTCTATGCATGAAAGTAAAATCCTTATTTGTGCTGCTTCCCCTACAGCCACCCTCATATTCACCTGAGCCCCCTCTCGATCCAGTGATGGGCACAGAAGCCTCGGACGTCCCGGGTCCCCCTCTCCTCATTGGCTGAGACAGAGAATGGAGACATTGGCTCCCAGTGCTGTCAATAACAGCCAGTGAACCAATGAGGAGATAGTGGGGGCAGGGTCAAGTCAATGCACTATGTGTCTTATTGACACATAGAGCAGGGCCCAGAAGCAAGCACACACCAGTGCCACCATAGCAAGAGGCTTGCTATTGGGGCACTAGTCAAGGGGGAGGAGCCAGGAGGGCCAGTGGGGGATGCGAGAAGAAGAGGATTTGGGCTGCTTTGTGCAAAACCACTGCACAGGGCAGGTAAGTATAACATATTTGTTATTTTGTATTTTAAAAAGCTGAACCTTTAATATCACTTTAAGATTTGACAAAAATGCAGAGCAGCACCAGATTTTGCACACTCTGGTTTTAGTAAATCAAACCCCACTGGGTTTAGTTCCACTTTAGCAAAAGAAAGAAAAAGAGAGAGGGCTTAATGTTCCCCTTTTGAGCATGCTGCTCCATGTTTCACAATATCCCATTGCAGTAGCTGTAATGCGATAAATAGGATCCTGTCCAAAATGTTAGTAGGTTTGACAAAGGGGCATGACTGCCCCAAAATGCATTGCAACACCCCTTATGTACGTCACGTGTGATGACATTGGTTACCACAGAGCTCCAGTCACTTCCCTGTATCGCTTTGCATATTACAGCCCAAAGAAACCGAGCAGGCTGCATTCTATCTACCCAGCTGCTGCCTTGCCTAAAGCTGCCTGGCCTCACTACATCTCTACCAAACTCTGCAAAATGGTCTCTACACACCTGAAGCAGATGCGATCTGATCTTAGGGAAGGACACACTGGACAAAGACTATCCAATATGCCATTCTTTTACTGATCACAGTGAGTGCATATATACATGTGTGTTTGTGAATTTATCAATAATTCTGCATTTAGATGGAAACACCTTCTCTTTTATTTTTGTTGATACCACAGTAGGACCACCCAACTTCCTACCACAATGAGGTGCTGCAGCCACCATAAGTGTGTTTTTTTTTTCCACCATATTGGACTTTCTAAGGACTAATATTTTCCAGTATTAGGGTACATTCCGATGTCATACTCATTTTTGCTCTATTTTTGCTATATATTTCTCACGTGTTTTTCCTAGTTCCACCTTAACTGACTTTAGGCTTTACCACCAAGGCCAGCTTCTAAATGGTAGTTGAGGGCTAATCAGCAGGAGTGGCCTCAGGTTCATCACAGCACCAGGTGATTTCCCAGGCATGCAGCTGTTTCTGGATTACTGGATTACTGATGTACTTTGCTTAATAAATAATGTTAAGGAAAATTAACAAAAATAACATGTTTATAAACCCATAACATGCCCCAGGCCATGTCATGATATTGATGCATCTTAAATATAAGAGAGTCCTGAAATATCATGAAAATTTGCTCCATTCTGCTCCATATTCCCACCAGTCTTCTTATGACTGATAACCAAGATGGGAAAGTCATTCAGAAGCAGACAATACAGAAAACAGCACTAGAAGACAAATGAGACTACCTGACACACCTTCAAAAAAAAAAAAGGACCTATCATATTCAGTGTTGTTGGGTATCTGATCAGATGTTGTGGTATAGAGTTATAGGGAAAGAAATTTTAAAAAGGCACAAGATTTTCTACAGTTGATTAATTTACGGCAGGAATACAAATGTGTTCTGTGAATGGCACCTATACTGAGTGGACCCCTTGTGGTCAGTGGAAGACAGAAGACACTGGTGATCACTGTAGTAGCAGTGACAACTACAGTGATTTTCAGCTTCCACTTGCATCTCACAGGCATGGAATATGCATATTTACAGAACATTGGTCCAAGCTGAAACAATGTAACTTTGCAATAAATTCTATTCCAGGAATTCAACATAAAGGTTCTGCATTGAGGTGAACCCTGGTCCACTTAAAATATACAATCATGTAGAGAGATGTTCTTTTTTTGTAAGATTCCATGGCACATAACTGGATGTTGGAAGGTAACGCAATTCCTTTTATTTCCTTTCTCTTCACATTTTAATGAAAATCTCTGTATAATAAATGAAAAAAAGAGTAGTCACTGAAAATGTGCAACATACATAGTTTCACACACAATTTTCCCCCAAGGTTCTCAGCAGGCCTTATATAAGCATATGTCAAATATTTGCCATTACAAACTATTCTTTTGCAGAATATTTTTAAACGTATACATATGGACAGCAAGGCAGTGCAGAATTTCAGGATTCAGTACAGTAAATAGGCAAAGTTTGCTAACACTGATGGACTTCAGTGTCTCATTTTGGGGATTTCCATGGATATGCCCAATAATATAATATACAAGCTAGAAAATTAGGCAGAAAAAGAAGACCAGTTTACAACCTGGATAATCACATTTTTGTCAGCTGTTTTCTTTGCATACTTAGAGTAAACTTGTGCCTTGCCCATGTATTGTAGTTTGCTCCCCCCTTCTCAGTAACAGATATTCGACTTCCCATCAGTCCCCACAGCTCTGTTTAGCTACAGAGAGTGGAGAAATCCTGTGCATTCCGTTGAGTAGGACCAGCCACTAAGCACCAGCACTGTGATTTTAGGAGGATCTATAGCCCTGTGTAAGCTATACCACGAGCATACCTTACAGTTAAAGCGGTAGTAAACCACAGCCTTTCAAAAAGAAAATTAACCCCCCTGGCGGTATTCCCGAGTGTAACTCAGGGTTAACTTTCAGTGCCAGAAGCGGTAACCCTGAGCTTCACTCAGGATTACCCTGCAGCTTTGCTCCGGGATCCCTCCAATCCCTCCAGCACTTACCTTGTCCTGCGCTCCCACGATGTCCCCCCTGCAGCGTACCAGGCCATCTCCTCCAACCGATGCCTGCATCTGTCTTCCGGGTTCCGTTCCCTGTGAGCGTCAGGATGTACAGGACGTACAGGGGACGGAACCGGTGGGAAATTCAAAAATGTAAAAATGTGACATTCACTCAATACACTAAAATCTGACAGTATTACATTACTGTATCAAACCATTTCACATACATTTTGTCCCTAGTGCTTTGTCCTGTGCCCTGCCTGCATTTTTACTGATCTTTCTGCCTGGAAACTGAGAAACGGCCATGGCATCCAAAAAGCGTCCCTTTATGTCAAAAGCAGTTTTAGACCAGCTAGAGAACAGCGATAGTAAATTAGAACCACTTGCAGAATTGAGTGATAGTGATTCGTAGGGAAATTCGTCATCAGACACTGAAAACGATTCTGCGACTGAGCTCAGTGATGTGCGAACTTGGCGCTGTATTTCAAATGTCAGTGTTTTTGGTTTGATTACATTATTGAATTAAATTTATTATTATTATATTATTATTTTTATGATTATTTATTATATTATAATTTATGATTTCGCGTTTCAAATTTTATCATACCCGGGATGTTTACTAGACTCTTGTTCGGACAGATTCCAGTGAGTTATTCCTAAGAATTACAGACCTACAATAAAAAACAACATATTTCCATGCAAAAAAGTACCACTTTGAGCACAGAAATACTGACATAATAAGACCGCTAGGGAGGCAGGGGCGGACTGACCGTTTGGAAACTCGGGCACTGCCCAAGGGCCCAGGGTCAGTAGGGGGCCCCATGAGATGCCTCTGGTACCTTTTTCAAAGGCTTTTTTGAGTTTGGGCAAGGACACAGGGGCTCCATGATCCCCTATTGCCTGGGGGCCCCATGAGTTGTCAGTCCGCCCCTCTAGGGAGGTTAAAAAAACCCCTGCAAGGCAATGGCATAATGTGCTAGTATGCATCATATACTAGCACATTACAAAATACATTAGAATGAAGCTATCCAGCAGTTCCATTTGCCCCTGAACCTACTCCTTTGAGCTGCGATGACGTCACTCCTACGCATGCACAGGGGAGTCACAGTTTACAGCACAGAGCTCTGAAGGGACAGCACATATATGTGATCCCTTCAAAGAGCATGTTCTGGTGACGTTTAGGAGCTATTCACTGTACCTACAGGTAAGCCTTATAACAGGCTAGGCTAAGTTCAAAAGCGGAGTTTATTGCCACTTTAATTAGTAGTTTATACTGTTTGTACTGCTCCTAGCAGCAAATGAAAGGTGCTGCTAAGGACAGGAGTATTAAAGTAAACCTGTTGAATGGGCCAAGATAAGGCTTCCTTTTTGCTACAAAGGAA